AGGGACAGTTCCAGGGTAATGGAAATCAAGGACAGTTCCCCGGTTATGGAAATCAAGGACAGTTTCCCGGTAATGGAAATCAAGGACAGTTTTCCGGTTATGGAAATCAAGGACAGTTTCCAGCCAATAGATATCAAGGGCAATTCACTGCCAGCAGAAATCAAATGTAACTTTCTGGCAACTGGATACAGTAACCCGAGAGGAAAAAAGGTTAGCGTATGGCAGAAATTTGGAAAAGTTTAGGTTATAAAGGAACTAAATTTCAAAAAATCTTGCCAGAACTGTTGCCACAGGCGGTAAGATGCGGAACAGCCTACTCTGCGCAGCTGCTCTTCTGGTAAAGAAACTTCTGTTCTGGCATTTTTAATCGTTTTTGCAGAACAATTTAAGGGACAGAAGTAATGAGAAGAAACACTTTGCCACATTTAGTGCTGAAAATTCGCTGCGGTCTGTAACCAACCGTGTTTTTTAGCTTTGGTGAAACTCTGGACAAGGTTCGCAAACAACACTGTTTTGTTCTCCGCATCATCAGAAACAAGGCCGTGTTGTAGAATATTGTAATTTATTGTAAATAAAACCTTAATAAATCGCTAGCTATTCATTGAATTCTCGTTAAACGGAAAAATGTGAAATATGCACGGCTTTACATAGCCGTAATCTCTGTTCATAACTTTTTGGGAGTATACAATTACTCCCTATTCCAAAACTGTCAACTCTGAAGACCCATTGTTTCGCTACAGGCCGAAAAGTTTTTATCAAGATTTAGCATTTTCCTGGAAACACTGTGACTCAACTGACATTCAGAGCAATTTCTTAGAAATGATCGTCGAAATAATGCGCATAGCGGTCTGACGGGGTACGGGTATATTTTCACACCCATAATAAAGACAACAACCCATTGTTGGAAAATCTATTCTCGGCAGAGAAGGTTCTTTGTGACCTGAAGGTAAGTAGGTAACGATGATGAACAACTTAGATAGGGAAAGGGATGGCGGTGTATACCAAAGAATTTTGTACGGTGCCGCAACTGCGCTGTAATTCTACCCCAGTTGGTTTTTTTTTCTTTTGCCTCTACTATAACTGCCATTTGATCTTGGCTGCTACATGTTTTATAAAATTATTGAATGGAAAACCTCAATCGATTCATATATTTAAATGAATGACAAGAGTAGTACTAAACAAGCCTGAAATGAATGGGAAAATAAGTACCAAACTTTTTACCGCTCCTGTGTTTAGACTGTTGCCGGTTGTCACCGCCAGTCGACTTGCAACATGTAAAATTACCAAAATAGAGAAAAAATGAAGCACTACTAATGGGATAACAGCAGGAGTTGTTGTCACAGCAGTAGTGAGTCATCTTCGTGTGTGCAACCAAAGGAAGAGTCTGCTTTTCAACAATCAAAATTTCGGTGAAATTCGACGGCTTTGTAGATGAGACACCAAATACGAAGTTGCTTTAACATACACCCAGTATTTAAAAGTCAGTTTTTACTATCAAAGAGTACATCTTTTGAAAAAATTACGAGAATTAAACCAAAGGATTTGTAAAATATGATTTG